CGCACCGCCCCGCACCGCTCAGGGCCGCCTCGGGGCCGCCCCGCACCAGGTACACCCAAAAGACCGAGCTCCGCGTCTGCTCAAACCTGTCCCTGCCAGAGGCCCAGGTGAGGGTTTGTCCCCCATCACAGGGGAGATCAGCACAGAATCACGGGCTGGTTTGGGTTGGAAAGGACCTTATTGACCACCCAGTCCCACCCTGCACGGGCAGGGACACCTCCCAGCAGCCCAGGTTGCTCCAAGCCCCATCCAACCTGCCCTTCAACACCCCCAGGGATGGGGCAGCCACAGCTTCCCTGGGCAGCCTGGCCCAGGCTCTCCCCACCCTCACACCGAGGAATTTCTGTCGCTGTTTTCTCACCCTGCAGAGCAAGAGGGATGTTTAATTCCTGGCAGTGTCTCCCCGAAGGAGCTCAGCGCTTGGAAGAGGTGCTGCAGCCTCTGCATTCCTCCAGAAATTGCCCCTTGTGAAATGTCTCTTCCCGCACCGGGACCATCAGTCCTGACAGTCCCTGGGGGGGGACAGTTGCACACAAGGTTATTTACACAACACACAGCCTGGTGGCAGCACAGGGGGGTTCCTGCAGTCTGAGTAAGGGTTTGCTGTTGCAACAAGTTTTCCTGGAAAACAAACAAACAAACAAAACAAAACAAACAGGAAAGCAACTGGTATTTTGTTCCTTTTATTTCTTTTTCCATAGTTTTTAAAAAGAACATAACTTTTCTGCTGGCCCCTGGAAAAATCACCTCCAACAGGGAACTGTAGCTGGGCCTGAAAGCAGAGAATCATAAAAACATGATCTTGGAGCCTGTTAGATTCCTGTGTGGGGTTGCAGTCTGAGTGGCTGTGGTGCTGGGTGGTTCTTACATTGATTTTAGGACTGAGTAGCTTCAGAATAGAAATGGACTGGGTGAAACTTTCCATCCTGCTATTGCTAATGAGACTGGAGCAATAAGCATTTTGCATATACATGAGTAAATATCTGGTTTACTGTATTAAAATGCACAACTTTTTATGTAAGTCCCTTGGTGTCTCTGGTTCTTGGAAGCAGAAGTGTAAGTGGCAGGGAGGTTTTTTTTCTACCCTGCAGTTGTATTTCTGATTTTCTGTTGTCAGTTGCTTTCAAATCCTGACTTGGTCACAAATGAAAACTTGTGTCATGGACCTCCTTGCCTGTTCAGACCCCCCTGTGTCAGAAGGCATCTCCTGCTGAGCAGGACTCAGCACACCTGGATCAAGGGCAGAGCCCAGCAGTGACCTGCAGGGTCACCAGCACTGCCACCCACCCCTGGCTGAAATCAGGGTGACTCCAGAGGGATCTCAGGTTATCAGCTGCAGAGTCTCAGGAGTTCCCATTTCCAGGGAAGATGGTGCCTGGCCAAAGCCTGGAGCTGGCTTTACCCCTGCTCTCAGCTGTTTTCTTTCCTTAGCAATGAAATTATCTCAGCCCCCCCTCAGCTGTTTGCTGTTTCTGAAGGACAAGCACACACACTTGGTGTTACCCCTCTCTTTGGTTTTCTCTGTCCCTAGTTTTGTAGGTTTGTTTTTGTTGTGTTTGGCTAACCATAAACCCACAAATCTGATGTGTGTTTACATACAGCAGTAGATTAAACACAGGTTTTCATTCTGACCTTCAGAAGGCAAAACATTTCCTGTCTCCTCTGGCTTGACCAATATTGCTGCTGGAAGTTAACAGCAAAATGTGCCCTTCATTGAAGTTTCCTTGTAAAATTCCTGCTAGGTACCCAGGTGCTGCTAATAATACCTCTCTTCAATGTATTATAGGGACAACCTTCATGATGAGATGAGCATCTCAGATCCTCCTCTGTGTCACACTGAAATCTAACCTGGCCTGAAGCTTCTGGAGATCTCTACAATCAGATCATACTTGGTAAGTCTGAGCACAGAAAAGCTGTTTACTTTTTCATTACTTTCCTAAAGGAAGGAGTGTTGGTTGTAGAAGCTGTACAAGAATTAGGAGAGTTTTCTTAAGGCTAAACAAACCCAGCACCTTCAGCCAGTCTTGTTATTCTCCCTCATTTTTTCCCCTTTTTTTCTAGTTTCTTCTCTGAATTAAGTATCCCTCATTACTTGGACCCCTTTTGTTGTCCCTGATGTCTCTCAAAGAGGTCAGCTCTTGCAGATGCTGTTTTCCTTTTTAGATGTTTTTTCTTAAATGCATTAGAGGGTTCTGTGACTTGTAATTTCTGATGAGTGCCATCCAACCATTTAATTCTTTGCAATTGCCATAGTAGATGCCAAGCACATTTGCAGTAATTGGATGGCACTTAAGGGATTAGTCAAGACTGCCAAGACTCACAGTCATCCAAACCACAGCTGGGTTTTTGTGCTGCTTCCATGGGAGCTTTGCTCTGTCTGCTCCTAAATTTAATTGCAATCTGCATTTTGAATAAAATCCCTCATGCAGCAGCCTGATCAACATGTGTGGCCCTGGCTTTGGTGTCCTCTGGCAGGGGAACAGTTACAGCATCTCCCTGAAGGGCAGATTTGCAAAGGGCTCCCTCAGAGTCACTGAACATCTGACCCCAAGCAGGCTCAGGTGTTGGCAGGCTGTCTGGGGCCCAGGTGTCAGGGGCAGGGAAGCTGCTGCAGAACCTCCTAGAGCCCTCTGAGCTCAGAGGGTTCTTCATGATCCTTATGCATCACACCAAGACAGCAGAGTGTCTGCAGGCCACAGCTTCCTGGGGAGGGAGAGTCTCTCTGCTCCAAGTGGGAAACACAGACCAGTATGGATTGGGTCCTAAACTCCTTTCCATTCAGCTCTGTTCTCCCAACACTGCTTGTTAGTCTAGGGGGGCTTGTTGCTCTTTGTCTTGCTCTGCTGGGGAGAGATGACTCTCAAAGCTGCTGGTAGCCCAGGAGAGCAAGAACCAGATGCTTGTTCTCTGCTTGTGCTGACCACCCATCCCTGCCTTAGCCCTGAGCACTGGCTTGGCTCCATCACCCCACGTTTGGGTATCAGCTCCTGCTAGGTTAGCTTGGCCTGATGGATTTTGGCTATTTTTGTGGTGAACTGACCAAGGAGTTGGAGGTGTGAAGGTGGGTGGTGACTGACAGGAGCTGATATATCTAAGATAGCTTTTTAATTGTACCCTTGACAGGGAGGACAGGATGCATTTGCGATGCTGTTTTAACCAGGGGTGATACCAGCTGTTTGTGTTGTTCTCATATGCCAGGAAGATTCACAAACCTTGGATTATAATTCCTTCACAGTGTTCAGAAGCTGACAGGTTCATATATTGAGCTGTGGGTGGGCAGTGCCTGGTGGTTAGCAGGAGAAAGTGAAGTCTGCTGCTCGGGAAAGCTTATCAGGAAAAGGGCATAAGTAGTTGCTCATTATTAAGTGCTGGTTGCTGACATAAGAGCATCAGATGGGAGCTGTGAAGTGCTTTGCTGGGCTTGAGAGCCCGTTGGGGCAGCTTTATTTGCAGAAATTTCCTGTCTTTTATGCTAATAGGACAAAGAAGCTGGTGTCACTGCAGAACTGGCTCCAGCAGGTCTGGGCAGCACAGCTGGGACAGGCTGGTCACTGCGGTGGTGACACCACCGGCCTCCAGCATCCCCAGCCTGAGGGCTGGGCAGGGGCAGGTGCCAGGCTGAGGGTGTTGAAACCTCTTCCTCTGGGGCTCGGGACTGAGTAGCACTAATGTTTTTCTGTGGCTGGAAAGAGTTACCAGTTGGTGATTCCAGGGAGGAAGGGGCAGGGGCCACAGCCTGGCCTGTCCAGCTGGTTTTGTCAGAAAGGTGAAGAAAGGGGATGAAGGTTTCTCCTCAGCACTTGCAGCAAGGTAAGCTCTGATAGAGCTATCAAGCCAGAACCAGTTTCATATTTTTCCAGGTTAGGAATGATACAACACACGGGCAAGGAACTGATCTGTCAGGCATATTCAAGAGCAGAGTTTCACCTTTAAGCCAGTGGTTAATGTGAATACACATTTTATTAAACCCGTTCAGCTTTCGTGCCTTTGATGCAACATCCTCCAATGATGCTTTTCTTGGCTGACTTGAGAAGGTGAAAACATTGCAGTCCAGCACTGCTTAATGCTGCTGTTCCAGCTGTCATTGCACTCAATCTCCTAACAATGTTTTATGTGCCTTTTTACTTAATTTCTGTTACCTGACTCAGTGCCAGCCCTCTCAGAATAGGGCATGATGGATTAGTTTCATTAGATGTGCAGGTATGGTATTTTTCTTCCCTCTCTTTGGTCTTCTTCCTGAAATGCTTTCTCATCTTGGGAGAGAGGAGTGGATAAAGACCCCAGCTAGTGACAATGACCTCCTGCACACTGTACAGGAGATTCAAGTCTTGGGGGAGCAAACTGGAGCACATTCAAAGATTGTAAATGGCTCTCCTGGAAGTGATGAGCTGAATCAAAGAGAAAACAGACTCTGAAACTTCAGCACGTTTCCATTTCTCACTCCTACAGACAGGTTCAGATGCTCCTGTGGGTGACAGAAAGACTTTCCACAGCTCCATTTCTAGACAAAAAATTTTTAAAAAATAAATCTAATCTGAATGTTTTCCTAATAGCTCCTGAAAGAAAGATTTCCATTGTGGCTGGATGTACAGGGTGCTAGTTAGAAAGAGAAATATTGAAGCTGACTTTTCTCAATTTTTCATTGGTGAGTAGCAACCTACTTCTTGTTTACACTGTAAAGTCACAGTGAGGATTAAAAGAAGCTGAAGGGAGCAGTTCTCACTGCAGGCTGCATGCTTGTGTTTTGTTCTTGCATCCAAACCCATCATCTTCAGAAAGCAGCTTATGCTTTGATGTTGCTGGTTTCCATCTACATGTGCTGAGCTTGAAGAGCAGCTTCCTCTTTCAACCTGTTGAACTCTTCACCTTGTTTTTTTTCAGGTGTTGACCTACAAATATGATATTACAAGAAAAAAAAAACAAACCACTAATGGAGGGAGCTGACCTTTGCCTTTCCCACTGTTCATTTCCTTGCCAAAGTAGTTTATCTCCTATTTACATCCTCTGCTCCTGTCTCCTTTCTATTTCAGTAGCTGGACTGGCGCCTGTTTCTAAAGGATGATGCATCTACATGGCTCAGGCATTTGCTGCAGGAGCTTTTCCAGTGCTTCAGGAATGTCTCAGCATCTTATGAGTCATGTGTCTGGGAGCCAATGTTTTCTATTACTCTGATAGCTCAGTCTCTTTTGGGTGCAATTTGAAGGTATTATTGGGCTGATCTCGACATGCTTCTACCCTGCAGTGCCATAAAGTGGCAGGGGTGACCTTGCTGTGTTTCAAGTGCCACTGTGTCAGAGCAGGGGGTGTCCAGGTTGGTTTCCACAGTCTCTTCATGTGGCATTTACTGGCTCATGACTGGGCTGGCTTGAGTTCTGGGGCAGCTTAGCACCAAAATGCTCCTGACAGGTGGAAGGAAATGTGGATGAGGAACAGCCTGGGCAGACAGGGACGTGTATCCTGTGACTACGTGTGAATAAAGAGAGAGCAATTCCTCAGAGCAGTGTGAGGAGTTACCTATAGGTGTATCATGTCAGGAATAAACAGAGAGAGAGAAAGGGAGAGTTTTAGCCCTAAAGGAGAAATCCTCCCTGTGAGAATCTCCAGCCTGAGCAAATAGCCCTCATGGGAAAGGAGCAGAACTTGTTTTTTTTTCCATGGAAAATGCAAAATGTTGGACTTAAGAAGGGAGACATCTTGCAGAAAAGCTCCAGCCTCAGCCCCTTGAGAAAGACTAAGAGAAACCACTGGTTTTTTGTCTTTAACTGATGATTATTATATCCTGCTGAGTTCTTTACTCCCCCGCAGGAATGAAACTGCTTATGTTTTAACAGCCCACAGATACACATCAGTAATCTTGATTTGGGGCAAGAAAAAAAATAAGGTTGTGAAAAGTAGGTGATAACAACAAGATCTGTAAGAGCATGGCAGGAACAGCATTGTCAGCACAAATCTAGCTTGTGCTGAGCAGTATTCAGTATAATCTGAGGTATGTGTGTTACAAATTGAAACTTTTTACTGAAAAACAGCTATTGCAACTGTGCTTCTACTTGATGGCTCAAAAAAACCTAAGAGAAGTACCTGTTTGACATACTCTGTATTTTTAGTGATCAAGCCTGGTGGGCATCTTAAGGTCACACCTGTAACAGGAACACTTCTCACTCTAAGGAACATTTTTTTCTGACCTGTGTAAATCTTTTCTCATGTTAATTGACCTGGAAAATAATTACAAAAAACTGACAGCAGACCTGTGTCTGTGCCACTAAGTAAAACCAGGCCAGGAG